TTACCGCCGTGGAAACCTAAAATCCTACAAAGCTAACATGAATAATACATTTTGTGATTCTATATGTAATATTTGAATATCGGCTTATCGTGGACTCTGATCCATGAGTTGCACACTTTTCCATAGCCATTAAGCAGACGGTCATGCATTACGGCTAGGTCATTGCTGTGTGCAATGATTTACGTGTGCACTTTCAGTTGCCTTACGCGCAGAGTCTCAGAAATCTATGGTGCATTAACTTAGAGACATGATTTATATATAGTCACCTATAGCCAGATTTTTCAGTTTGGCAGGTGTTAAGGACAACCTGGATAGAAGTGGTTTGTTGAGACCGCTCTTTGTGGCCTCTGCCAAATCCTTGTCGTTTGCTTCAAGGATTTCCTTTTCCTTGCTGAGTAACAAATCAGCCAGAGTGTAGATGCAAGTGGCTCGCTCTTCTGGGGCTAATCCCTGTAGAATCCGACTACCATTCCTGGCTGTACAAATAAACACACATGATAAACAGAATTGTTATCGTATGTTTATGGCGATCTAATGGGTTATGGCTCCGTATGGACGTGTAGGTAGGGACCAGGGTTTCGGAGTAGCATATTACATCTATTTTCAGGTACACACGAAAACACATAGTTATGCAGAGGTTGTGTGTAAATAAGTTACAAAGCTCGTCATTATGCAGTTTTTCCTAGGTCTAATCTCCGGGAGAGGTAAAGGATTTTTCTTCTAAACTTTGTGTTCAAATCGATTTTGCGGTCTATTTAGTCTCCCATTCAGAGGGATCGGCGATGCCGGGGCGAGACGCTGACCACTCAAGAGTTTCTAGAGCCACGTTCATGGAAGGGCCGGAATTGCACAAACTGGGGACAGCTTTAGGAAGCATTTACGATCACCATTAGCCCGCGTCTAAGACGTCGGCAAATATTCTGTTCAAGACCTACATCATTTGTTTCTTTAAAAAAAGTTTTTAATTGTTTTATTATTCGACTAAGCTAAGAAATCTCTTCTTGTGTAAAACAATATATTTTATAAAATGATTTAATACCGTGTTTTAATTTATAATTTAAAACAAAATTAATTTATTTAAATTTAAGTAAATTAATAATTTAGGATTTTCCTACATGCACAGTATTATTTTAGAAACGATTTGATAGACTTTGACAGTAATTTTCGATGTTGTGAGGGTTGTATTAAATGTTATTGTAATCCATTAGTGCACAACAGTTTCGCTTTGTCTTGTACTCGGTTCACTTGCGACATGTTTCGGTTTATTCAATCAAAAACATAAAGTGAAACTGTTGTGTATAGACGGATTTCAATAATATTTCCCTAGCTTTATTTACTTGGTACAAAGAAAAAGGGGTCTTTTGCACTCGGTCGGATTGTTGATAAGATTCAAACGAACCGATTCTCGAAAATGATGCGTAGTGTCCACATCTGTTACAGAGTCTGTATCAGAAAGGAGGCGGGTGACTGTGAAGTGTATGGGTATATTGGGTTATTAATCATTCAATGAGATAAAAGCGTCTAGTTTATGCTGGGGAAGAATGGAAGGGACACAAAAATGTAATTAAGAATAATGTGAGTCCATGATAAATATCATGCAAGTACGTAGCACAGTATCAGGTCCCTGCAAACGATAATGAAAATTAATGGACAGTCTTCATTTGTGTAGTTAGAGGTGTCTTCACGGTGTTTCCATGCTATTCTGTATTCACAGTACGTGTCAGGTGGCTTTTTTCGCGTCCAGTCGACGACAGCCTCGACCTTTAACGTTTAAATCGATACAAACAGAGGCATTTGAGCAATATTAATCGGAAATTTAATATGCTTTAGAGTCATCTGGAACTGATGGTGGGATTTTGTGGACTCGGTAATGAACATTGTGATTCCATAAAGGGTAAACGTTTTTTGACTAGCTATGCGACTATTTCCTTTTTAAGGACTCTGCTCTGTGCGGTTAGTTACAGTGAGTGAAATAAATCTGTACTGGTATGTCTTGTACTTTAGCGTGTTTAATAATTGCTAGGTGTTCTGGAAATGTGTAAGAAATATAGTACCGCTTGAAAGATAATTGAGAATCGAAAGGGTTAAATATTGTGAATTGCATTTTTTTAAATTTTATCGTGTAGGAATTTTTCTTGGGAAGTCCGACTATTTCGAGAATTTCATACTGCCTTTAATTCCAAATTCTGTATAGGCTGTAGTCCAGGCTCAGGCCATATCACACGTAAAAGAATTTGCAAAATCCCATGTTCACGTAACTTACCGTTCTCGGCGAGAATGTCTGTGGCAGCGTTTCCTCCGTTGCTGCCGCTGTAGGTGAAGAAGGTCCCTATTCTTCTGCCACGCAGAATGGTCTTTATTGCGTTGTCCTGCATTCCATTGCAGACTACAACACACACTCCTCGCTCCAGAGCCCACGCTGCAGACTTCACCTTTAACGCAGTAATGCGATAAATAAAATGAAAAGAATAAAGCCCTTTTGTTCGTGTGGTGTGGATTCCACGGTACACGAACAATATTACCTTCATTAACCCTTTGAAGCTGAAGTTCGTCTAAATAATATTTAATAATCCAGTCTGTATCGCAGAGGAAACAACTTACTGCAGCTGGTTAACGATGTTTAAGAAAATACCTGTTTACTGTGAGAATCGTAAAGAACATAGAAACAAATTACACGGTTCCTGATTGTTAAAGCAGGTGGTATATATGTTTACCACTGGACTTCACGGGGTTAATTAAAATAAATTATCTACTATCTTAATAACACGAGAATACTGCTACAGAATTGCAGAAAGAAACGTAGATTGAGGGTGAAATATTTGGATCCAAGAGGAATTTAGTGATGAGAGGCTGGAGAAAACTGCTTAATGAGTAGCTCCATACTTTATACTCATTATCAAATATTATTAGGATGATGAAATCACAGAAGATGAGATGGACACTCATTGGGCAGATGAAAATTGTGTAGAAATGTTTGGTTCAAAATCTGAGAGGAAGAGGCCACTCGTAAGACCTAAGTGTTGATGGAAGAATAATATTGATATACTGGGTCAGCGTGTATGTGTGTGTGTGTGTGTGTGTGTGAACTGTTTTGAACCGATCGATATCATAATCCATCACAAGCGGACATGACCTGCGCTACTCGCTGTGGATCTGGTGACTGCTAATCCGTATCTGTTGTACTGTTACATCGTGCTCTGATCTCGCACATTTCCATGACGCATACTAATTTACATACTCGTGTGTGAGAATAATTAGAATCCGACCACTTTAGCTGACACTGAAAGAAAGATCCCGACTGAGAAGTCCGTGTTGATGACATTGAACACACAGTTTTACTTCCGTGAATCCAAAAGTTTGCGTCTGTTGGAGTGAGACACGAATCTGAACTCCATGCTGTTAATATGCGGTGTGCAGAAAGAGTGACCCAACGTCAGTTTCGTGTTTTTCGAAGATCTGTAACTAAACAAAGTTTGAGACTGTATATTGACGATCTAACCTCACAAATTCAAATGACAGCCATATTAATAATAGGTCTATTCTACCTAGTGGCATGAGGTTTAATGAAAATCCGTCGGATGATTAAAAAATTGTTATGCGGGGGTAGACATTTTAATACTATAAGTCTCTCTATCCTTACAAAATAAGGAAATTAAAATGGCTGTTGTATTAGATTACTTCTTGCACGTTCAGTTCAGCTGTTCGGTTTACCTTGGAATCCATCCCTCCTGTACCGACGCGAGATTTTTTGCCGAATTTGACAAGATCGTTCATGTCCGGAGTGTAGGTCCATAGAAGCCGAGCTCCTTCCTGTGAAGGGGGCTTCGTATAGATCCCGTCCACATCAGACATAAGGACCAGCAGGTCCGCCTGTACTTCTGCAGCCAGCATGGCCGCCAAGCTGTCGTTGTCCTTGAGGCTGATAGCTCCCATGCGGTTCTGGAAATAACAGCACAAATTGCGTCGCTCATTTTGGTTATGAAGCCACGTAGACTCATAGGCAATTACCAGCGATCGTAAAATACATGCTGTCACCAGTTCTGAAGATGGAGACGGTATGTTTATCCGAAACGCTGATATCAACCTGGAGTCTGCACTGTGCTATTCCCGAGAAAAACGCTATTGTCATCTTCACGGCCGTGAGAACCTCAGATCAAACAACAATACAAGTGAACTGCTAGTCTATGAAAGAGACACGCTACGTCCTTGTGATAAGGTTCCATGCACAGCGAAGTCTCTAATTACCTCAGAGTAGGCCTATCCATTATATGCTTCTAGCGGTCCCTAAACGCACAATTATGTCTGAAAAAGGAGAAAGACCGAACGAGGAGAACGCAAACAATGACAAAATAAAACAAAATAAAACTGGCACTTTCTTTGTGCCTGATGTTCTCGGGATGACTTGGGTCTTGGCCTATTGACTAAAGTGATTGACTTCTGGCCGAACGACAGGAATTCGATTCCTTGAGCAGGCAGATATTTTTTTGCCCACACATCCACGTCGGCTCTGGGCCCACCGAACCTCTTGTTCCATTGGCAGATAGATACATGGGTTTTATCAACAAAAAGCCACTTAAGTGTTTAATTTACAACTCACATCTACCTAGTGCCGAGGTCTCTACCGACGTGGATGGGCAATGCAACATCACTTCCCCTTCGTCCCCGAACCTCGGCTGGATGGCCTGCAACGTGTGTGTTTGATATCTTGCGACAATTATAACTACACCCGCAGTAGGTAGAACTTATTCCTGTGTAAGATTTGAGGTTTTTACGGCGGTGAGTCTGAAGATTGCTGTCTTCAGTTTATTCCTACAGTGCGCACAGTAGAGTTTTAAAAGTTGAAGACCAGGAGGTCTAGTGCTAACCTTCATTGAACCTTTGGCGATTTCCTCATCTATCTGCGGTGGAGGCGTTACTGCATCGTTTGTGTTGATGATAGGCACGATATTGAGGCTTATGAGTTCCGACAACGTGCTGAACAGATTTCGCCGCGTCTCTTCGTTGTAGAAGTCCGGCTTCGTGACCAGCACCTGCACAAAACATTCGGGAAGCAGAATATCTGAAGTACTTTTAGCAAACCTTTTAGGGCCTCGGGAGAGAATAAAGGTATAATGGACAGTAGAAGAACAGGAGATAGAGAAGAATAATGGGGGGGGGGGGGGGGGGGGAGGAGTGATTTTCTTGAAGGATGCAGAGAATCGTTTGGTAGGTCGAAGGCTCAAAGAATTTTTCCTCTTCTCCTGATAATGAAAGAACGTGTTTGAAGCGCGAAGTTGATCTAAATTTTATTTAACTATTTATTTTCAACTTCAAAGGAAATGCAACACGGCTTCATTACGAGGTTCCGTACACATACTTAGATATGGCCTGTTAACACATTTGCAGCCACACTTTTAATATTAATATATTATTTTAACTCTCAGCACAAGTCTTATATATATTTTAATATTTTAACATTTTATGTAATTGTTAAGTTGCATGAGAAATACACTTACCGATATAAGTTTTATATGTCACGTAAAAAAATTATGATATTGATGTTTTGTGATATAACAAGCTGTGTTTAACCGCAAAAATACAACCTAGGAAATTGTGATCCGTACCGGAATGCAAGTAATATCCTCATACGTCTTTTGTAAAGTACAATCGGAGGTATTAAACCCGCAGTGTTCGATAGCTCCCATTTTGGCCACCAGGTTGCAGCACTACATTGTCTACCTCACGACTTTCCTCATGCATCGTTTTGTTATCACCGCTCGTAGGATATTCAAAATACGATTTTGAGGTCGTGCAGAATAGCACAAAATGCACGTCAAATTTCATCCAAATCCGTCAAGTGGTTTTCGTGTTGAATCGATTGGACGGACGGATAGATGGACGGACATGATTCTACCATAACGTGTTCTCGCTGTGCACTTCGTACAAAGAACACATAAAATAATACACTTGTGTTTCTAAGACGGAACAGGAAATGGAGAAGTCTCCAGTGACAAGGAGTTCATACGAAGTGAAAACTTTTTTATTCTTTAAAAACTTATCAAATTTACATACCGTCACACACACATAACCACTTGATGGTCTTAGCCTATGTTTCTTCAGAAATGAATGGTGAATGAAATCACACCACTCGCCAGTGATCCACGAATAACATAATTTAACCTTTGACCTCAAGGCTATTCAACAGATGTCAGGTCAGAAAACAGCTGTTTGTCACACGGCCTGTAGGGTAGCGATGTAGAGCAAGTGGCTTAGATCGGAGACAGTCGATAACCATAACGCTAGGGTATAGTACAATTGTGTCAGTATGCAACAATGTAGGTGGGTTACCTGAGCGATCTTGATCCCGTATTGAGAGAACATGGCTTCGTACAGAGACATGAGGCCAGATTGGCCGACCGCAGCTGCTGCTCGAGCATCAAGCAGTTTCCCAGTGTTCTGAAAAATGAAAACATTCTACTGTACCCTGTCTTCTGGTATTTTGGCGCTGTGTTCTTGTAGAACGTGATCGAATTTTCAGAGCATCACGACGTCGGTCGGTCAATTTCTACGAGACTACACGGCGCAACATCCCAGAACTGTCTTCTTTAAAATACACATACAAGTGTAAAAAACGCAATTTTCACAATCTTTTCACAAAACACTGAAAACCAATTTGTATCATAATAGTATGCATTTTCCTCTTATTTATATAAGAATTTTCCATCTGCTAAAGTGTTTGAAGTGGAAACGGAATAAAAGAAAGAGTTTAACGGAAAACACTCTCAGTAATATTTATTCCTGTTCGTATAAACAATTCTGTATCGTGCTTAGTAGAATTTGTAAGTAAAGAAAAGGAATTTCCTGTCAGAATTAGAAAATAATTAAATAAATTTTTGCGAATGGTGGAAAATATCCTGCACTTGGGCTCATTTGTGCTGTATGTGGAATCTTTTGTCGGAGTCTCGACTCGCAGTGTTGATTTGTGAGGATCGTGAGGTATGGCGTCTCAATGCTCCTTTTGGTTTGATTTAGAATTGTAGTCGACGTTGCGACGGTGGGCGTCGTGACGCTTGTGAGATTAATCTGCACCAAAGATGCCATCATGTGTCGGGGTCGCAACGCGTATCGTTTGGCCTATCGCCGTGGGTTATTCTCCCGAAGGTTGAATATTATAGAAAGAATTATCACTAAACACAGACTCTTCACCGATACTCCGATCCAGGACGGACTTTGGGTTTGTGATCTTAGATCCTGTAATCTCCTCTCTGGAACGAACAAATTTTGCCTTGGCGCTATTCTTATCTTGTCCTTAGTTTTGGAGCTAAATAAAATTTCTTCTACAGGACTCAAACCCAGTTCAGTTCTCGGTGAGGTGGCGGTTGTTCATGTAATCTCCTTTTCGGGACACGCTGCTTTGGTCAATTTGACATTCTTTTGTTGTGCTTATTTTCAGAGGCACAGAAATCATCTTCACTGGGAATCGAACGTAGGGTAATTTCTCTGGTTTCTCTTCTTTGTTTCTATAATCTCATCTTTAAATTAACTGACTTTGATCTAGGCGCCATTCTTATATTGTTCTTAGTTTCCGAACTATGGGAAGCGGGAATCGAACTCAGGACAATTTTCCTGAGTTTTGTCCATCATGTGATCTATTACTGGTCTCAAAAAATAATGATCGGTGCAATCTGATTTGTCCCTTCTGGAGCTATAAGCGAACGAACACGCAAACCCACAATTTCAAATTCGTATGTACGGTTGTTAGGAAAGAATTGGATTAAAGGATTAATTTAATATAATATATCGCGTTTCTTATCGATTGATTGTCTTAATATTACCTCTGTGCTTTATTTCTCACCTCTCTGGTGTGGTCTTTTGGCGACAGTGTCTCCCTCATACTAAGAGACATGAGCAATTCTTGAGCCATCTTCTGTTTACCGAAAGCCACGGCACCGCTAGTTACCATGATACACTCCCTGCCCTCCAGATGACATTCAGCGACCTGCCAACAAAATAGGGACCTATTCTTATGCTGATTTTAAACAGGTTATTTTCATATAAAAAATAAAACCAACGTCCAGATGTATTGTTAATCAAGAGGCATTATAGTGGTCCTGTTATGAGAGTTTATGAGCGCAGATGCGGAAGAAATTCAAAAGACATGGGATTTCGGAGTCTCACGACGGCGACTATGAAGATAACTATTGGAAGGTGGAGGCAGTAAGCAAGTCTGAAACGTCGGTCAATTTCTACGAGACTGCACGGTGCAAAATCCCAGATGTTATTTATTTTCAGAGTCAAAATAGTTCATCATGAGGACGACGATGAAAGTCCTGATGATACAGGCAGCAAGCACCTCTGAAGCATTGGTAAACATTTACCAGACAGCGGTAGAAAATCAGATATTTTATATGCCTTTCAGATACAAAATTTATTAAAATCTGAGACATTTTGAGCCCCGTATCATTCATAATTCGAGAAATAAGTCGAGCCGCGTAAAACATCGAAGATCGCCATGGCTGTTGTACCTGTTCAACAATCGATGCGAGTCTTCCGAGGGCCAGACCGTGTTCATCCTCTCGCGTGATGACTGCGCTCCCCAGCTTGATGACCAGTCTGCGAGCGTACTGCAGCTGACTGCGGTCAGTGAACATTGGCTTGCGATGCTCAATACCGGTCTGGAGTCCTCGATGCGACTCCCGACGCACGCACTGCAGTACAAAATGTTATCAGACATGACAGGAGCTGAAAAAACAACTGTGAAATTATCAGATTAACTCTTTGTATACTACGAACGAGATATATCTGTCCCGAATTTATTTGGAATTTGAGAAGATCACTGGCAGATGCCGTTAACAGTCCCAACATCTCTCAAGAGCTGAACTTTATGCCTTTTCAGAAACATGTAACTGCAGGATTCTTAGAACATTTTACAAAAATAAAAATAAATGGGGAATATGTGCAATGAAACTTACTTATTTTTGTAAATCTTTATTATACTTTTTTCGTGGGATAATGATGTTCATGTACGTAAGCGTCTCTGTCCTATTTAGTAGCTGTTCCGACAGAAAAAAACCCAGCATGCCTTAGGATTCGGAGTCAGAAATGTGAAGGTTGGGTAAATAAGTGTACGGGTGTAGAAATGAAGGTGTTGCATTATACTTGAGTTGATATCTCTCAGAACAGACAATTCAAGGATGTATATTTTTGCCAATCTGAGCTGGCACTGTTTAAGAATTAGCATTTAGTTTGCTTTCATCGTACTACAAAATTCCTGTAGTGGCCGACGTGCTCAAGGAA